TTCCTGCTGGTGAGCAGAGGCTTGTGCGTGGCACCCTGTGCAATGGGTTTTCCACGACACATTGCCCTCGTTCCTGCTGGTGAGCAAAGACTTGTACGACATGAATCGCTCTGTACCCTACACCTGCTCCCCGCGCAATGGAATTCATCACAATGATCATCAATCTCCTCTGTTTTTGGCCCTGCACCCCTCGCTTTGCGAAAGACTATAAAATTATACCCCAAACTTACCTTCCTTGGAGATCTCCCCAATGGACAGAAGACTCTGCATCGTTGGACGGCTGAGTGGACTTTGACATTGGTAGCTATAATCCCCTTACTCTCTTTTCCTTATGCTTTGCTTTCTCCTCTTTTCCCTCTATCGCATATTAGTGCTGATGAGCACTCAATAAAGTGTGTTTTGTTGTTTAAGTCCTTGGTTTTCTTGATGCTTGGTTTGTACTCTAAGACCGACTAAAAGAACCACATCACGAATCCCACCTTGCAGATTGTGACACTGTGCCAGCCCCACAAATTGCAAGGGGACAGAGAACATCCCTGGCCTGGCAAAGGGCAAAGAGCGGCCGGGGGCTGCCAGGATGGTGACAACATTGGCACCCCCCAAACAATCAGAGAGGGACAAAGAGCCTGCACAGGCTTCCCAGAAGCAGAAAGGGGGCAGCAAATATCCCCTGCCCCCCTAAGTTGGAGGGGGACAGACACAACGCCCGCCCCCTCCATAGCCAAGGGGACACAAAAGGCCCCACAAAAAGAGCATGGGGAACCAAGACCACTGCCAGCCCTGCAATGGTAAGGAGGATGGAGAAACTCCCCATCTGTCTTTGTTTTGGAAGACAAGTGTCTGCTAGGCAGGGCAGGGGCCTCCCCTGGAATGAAAATGTAGACCCCTCCCTCTGAATTAGAATTCTGAAGTCAAGGGGCTTTCAGGCATAGATCTGGGGATAGGAGTAACAGTTCTTTATTAGTATTTAGAACAAGGCAAACAAACAATAACTACAGTGTTAGCAAGAAAACAGAACCAGGGGCCCTGTGACATCTTTCTCACCTGAGACAGGAAGGGATGGAGGAGAGGCTTTGTTTCACAAACCCCTCAGTCAGTCCCAGTGCTCCTGCTGAGCAGGCAGGGCTCCGGCTCTGAGGAACAGTCGGCTGGAACAGCAGGGATGAGCTGACATCCCAGGCTGGTGGCTGAGGTGGATGAGCAGCTCCGTGACGGTGGCTGGCACTGCCACATGTCCCGGCAGGACAGGAGGTGCGAGGCCAAGCAACGAAGAGGGAAGAAGGAGAAGAAGCAGCAGCTCCATCTGGGTGATGGAGAAATTCCCTTCTCACCACAGCAACAGCTCCACGCCCAAAGTGTCCTTCTCTGAAGCTGAAGAAAAGCCCGCCAAACTGTCCCCACCCTCCTTTTTTCCTGCCTCCTGCACCCCCTGGGCCCGGCCAAACCTTTTATCTTTTCTCAATCACCCACCAAGTACCCACAGTTTGGTTTTCCCCACAACTAATGGGTAAAAATTCCACAGGCAAGCCAGAATTAAAAAAAAAAGACACCTAACCCCCAACACCTGCCCCTGGCATCAGCCTGAGATGGGATTGAATATAATGACAGGGCCATGGCCAGACCCTCACGTTCTTGGATCCTGCATCAGGTCATTGCCATAGGCAGGAAAAGGTACAGGTGTCTTCCCAGCATGGATCACAGGGAAGATGGATCACCAGGTCTCTGCCCAACTTGAATTTTCCAAGGGGGGATGAAGCTGGAGCAGTGCACAAAGCTCTTCCTGCACTTTGGGGCATTTGCAGAACTTCCCTTACTGGTGCCTCCGTTGGTGTTGGGTCAAGTGAGAGTGCCTGGAGAAGGTCTTCCCACACTGAGGACACTCATAGGACCTCTCCCCAGTGTGGATGCATTTGTGGATAATGAGGTTGGAGCTCTGGCTGAAGCTCTTCCCACATTCCCCACATTTGTAGGGCCTCTCCCCAGTGTGAATGCGCTGGTGCCTGATGAGGTGGGAGTTTCGCTTGAAGCCTTTCCTGCAGTTGGGGCAGCGGAAGGGCTTCTCATCTGTGTGAATCGGCTGGTGCCTGAGGAGATCTGAGCTGCTCCTAAACCTCTTCCCACACTGGAGACATTCGTAGGGCCTCTCCCCTGTGTGAATGCGCTGGTGACGGATGAGTTTGGAGTTGCAGCTGAAGCCCTTCCCACATTCCCCACACACGTAGGCCCATTCCCCAGTGTGGATCATCTGGTGGCAGATCAGTTTGTTACTCTGGCTGAAGCTCTTCCCACACTCCAAGCACTTGTAGCACTTCTCCCCATCCTGAAGCTGCTCATGGACCACCAGCTCAGAGGCCCGGCTGGATCTCCGGCCGCCTTCTCGGCACAGGGTGGGTCTTTCCTCCTCAGAGCACCCTGGGCTGGGTTTGGATCTCCTCCTCCTGCGGGATCTCTGAAGCTTTTCCTCCCCATTGGATTCCTGCAATGTGGAGCCACTCAAGACAGCCTCTTCCACGAGGTTCTGCTGTGGGGATTTGTCCTCCCTGGTCTCCATCCTCAACTCCTTGTCTGGGGGAGGAAGGACAAGGAGAAGATGGGATTTGCCTCTGTGCCAGAGGGAAGGGGAAGGAGATCCCCCCAGTGCGTCCCCGGCAGGACAGCATCGGCAGCGGGGTTGTCCTGCAGCCAGGGGCCATGCTGGGCTGGGAGATGGAGCAGGAGAGAGGGGGAAAGGGGCACTGACTTCCTCCTCACCTGCCTGGGTGTTCCAGGGCATCTTCCTCTTCCTCACAGCCTCCTTGTCCATCCAATCAAGGTTTGGGATTGTGAAATCCTCGTTTGGGAGAAAACAAGGAATGAGCACAATGAGTTGAATGTCTCTTGGCCCAAGTCCCTCTCTAGAAGCCACTGGGTATCTGGGGTGTCTTGGTTTGAAAGGAAAGGTGTTTGCTAAGGAAGGCAGGAACCTCCATTGAAATTGATAAAAATGTAAACAACAACCCCCTCCGGATTATTATAATCTTGATATCGAAGTGCTCTCAGATAAAGGTATAGGAATACGAATAATAATTCTTTACTAAAGAAAGGAAAATGAAAATGCAGCAGGACAAAAAAAAAAAACCAAAAAACCCCAAAAAAACAACCCACTGACAGAGTCAGAATACAACCTGACACCCTGTTGGTCAGGGTGTTGGAAGCAGTCCGATTAAATGGTGGCTGCAGTCCTCCTGGAGTGACAGATGTGGTTCTGTTGAAGCAATGATCCCCTAGAAGGGTGTAGCTTACCTCTGAAGTTCTGGTGCTGTAGATGGGTCTGCTCTCTCCTCTGGGAATCCAGTGGAGAAAGACTGACTGTGGTGTTCTGATTCCCAGATTATATCCAGTCAGGAATGCTTGGCTCCTCCCCCTGGGTGGAGCATCTCACAATGGGCTGATGTAATTTTATCAGTCCTGCAGTGAGACTCAATGGCCCATTACCAGAAGATATCCCCCTGGAGGGAGGATGGGTGGTGGAAGAGATAAAGAACACTGCCCCACCTATTTTTAACAGCTGGCCCATTAACAGAAGATATCCCCCAATTATGAGGGTTGGGTCATGGAGGAGATAATGAAAACTGCCTCACCAGGTTTTAACAGATGGTGATAGAATACATACTTTTGGTTACATCTTGCATTGCAACCCAAGACATGGGGTCCATAAGAACCTCCCAAACACCAAGATTCAGCCCTGAAAATGCCTCCCAGGAGTTCCCCATTTCTGGTCTCCCTCCTTTGGTGTTCAGGGGTTCCTTTTTGTCCACGTTTGTACTGGGTGTCCCCTGTCTACTCGGCCCCTGACCTCTTCAGGCTGCTGGGAGTGCCAGGAATCTGAAAAGTTCCCCGTATTTCCATCTCCTCACTTACGGATGCTGGTATCCCCCAGTATCCCCCCAAGGGGCATTTTCCACTCAGCTCTGAAGTTCTTCATTCTCCAAACATCCTCTCCAAAAAACCCAACCCCTGAGGGACCCCTCAGGATATCTGGGCCTAGCTCTCCCTCCCCAGTCACCTGTCGGATTGGGGGGGTGGGGGGATGATGATCCCACAGGTAGGGGGCTGTGAATTCAGGGAGAGCTCAACCTCGTGGTTCCTTCTATTTTTCCTGATCCACTTTTGTCCCTCCTTCAGGCTGAAGAAGCTGCTCAAGGAGTCAGAAGCAAAACTCCAAGACCCTTGGAGCTTCAATCAGCCCCACTGAATGCAGGGACTACCAAAGGCTCCCCAGGCACTGGTGAGAGCAGATCCTGGAGGCCAGGATTGTCAGGAGCCAAAGGCTCTGAGCAGGGAACTGCAATGCTGAGCAAGCCCTGGCTGGGTTGGAGGAAGCAGAAAGGCTAAGCCCTGAGCCCAGGCCTGGCACAGCAAGGCCTGTCCCTCACAGGTGGCTCGGGGCTCTTTGTGGGGCAGTGGGATGTGAAGGGCAGCAAGGACAAATGCCATAAACCTGTGTGACACTCCAGATCCTTATGGAACCAAGGGGCCAGTGTGACACTGTGAGAAGTTGTGGAGCCAAGGGGATCATTTTGGCACTCTTGGGCCCATGGAACCAAGCCACCAGTGGGACACTGTGGGGCCTTATGGAAACAAGAGGCCACTGTGAGCCTGCAGGGCTGTAACACCCCAGAACACTTCAATGCTGGTGGTAACCATAGGTTCCTGTGCTTGAGTTTGGTGCACAGGAGAAAAACCAACCAGATCTTCTCACCATGGACAGATGTAAAGAATATTCTTGGTAGGAAGGGACCCACAAGGACCATCAAGTCCAGTTCTTAAGTGAATGGCCCACACAAGGATTGAATCCACAACCTTGGTGATGCAGGCACCATGCTCTGATCAACTGTGCTAAGAAGTCAAAATGACACAAAATTTATCTGGCAAAATATAGACAATCAAGGAAATTTGGAAAAGGGTTTAATACAACATCCAATTGAACATACAACTCTCACCACAGCATTAAGTTCGCTAGCTTAGCTCATTTAACCTAAAATCCTTTAACATTTAAGATTTTGGGTAACATTAAGATATCCAAAAATGTTCCAGGCATGTAGGATAAGAAGGAGAAGAAAAAGAGACCAGAAAGAGAAAAAAATCTACAGAAAGACACTTCCAGGTTGATCCCAGTCACTCCCATAAAATCCCAGTCACTCCCAGTTTGAACTATGGCACCCAATCACCCACAGTGCGCTTCCAGTCAATCCCAGATCCTCCCAGTATGATTCAGTCTCTCACAGTCTATCCCAGTTGCTCCTAGTCACTCCACAGGTGCTTCCAGCCTGATCACAGTTGCTCACAGCCACTCCCACTTACCCTGAGTGCAGTGCCAGTTGCTGCCAGTATGGTCCCAGTCTTGCCCAGCATGGCCCAGCTGCTCCCACCGTGATCCCAGAAGGATCCCAGATGCCCTCAGCATGGTTCCTGTTTCTCCCTGTTCCTCCCAGTGTGATCCCAGTTGCACCCAGTTGATCCTAGTATAGTCCCAATCCCTTCCCAGATGATCCCAGCTGCTCCCAGCACGGTCCCAGTCATGCCCAGTTTCTCCCAGTGCAGACCCAGTCACTCCCAGTTGTTCCCAGTTTTCCCCAGCATGGGGACCCAGTCACCCCAGCATGGGGTCCCAGTTGTCCCCAGCATGGTTTCTGATTATTCCCAGTGTCTTCCCAGTCATCCCCAGTATGCTCACAGACACTCCCAGTATATCCCAGTTGCCCTCACCTTGCCCGTAGTCATTTCCAGACACTTCCAGTAATCCCAGTCAGGTGCTTGTTATTCCAGTATGATCTCAGTCACTCCCAGTATATCGCAGTCCAGCACTCCCTGAATTCACAGCCCCCAACCCGTGGGATCATCACCTCCCATCCCACAGATGACCAGGGAGGGCGAGCTCGGCCCAGATATCCTGGGGGGTCCCTGGGTTGGGTTTTTGGGGGGATGTTTGGAGAATGAAGAACTCCAAAGCTGAGTGGAAAATGCCCCTTGTGGAGACATTGGGGGTTCCTAGTGGCGGCTGCTGGCAGAGGCAGCCTGGAGGAGCAGAGCCCTGTGTTCCCCAGGACCCCAAAGTGGGGAGCCTAGAGAGGGGGAGAGCCGCGATTTGTGGGACCCTCAACAGCCTGGAGAGGGGCAGGGGGGACTCCTTGGACCCCCTGCACCCCCAAGAAGAGAATAAGGGGAGAAGCGACACTGGAACCCCAAAAACCTGCATCCCTAAGTGGGGAGATGGAAATGGAGAGAACTTTTCAGATTCCTGGCACTCCCAGCAGCCTGGAGAGGGCAGGGACCGAGTAGACAGGGGACCGCCAGTACAAGCGTGACCCCCAGAAGCTGGGACAGGGAGGAAACCCTGAACACCAAAAGGGAGAGAACAGAGATGGGGAATTCCTGGGAGGAATTTTCAGGGCTAAATTTTAGTGGTGTAAAATTTTTATGGACGCCATGTCCTGGGTTGCAATGCAAGATGTAACCAAAAGTATGTATTCTATCACCATCTGTTAAAACCTGGTGAGGCAGTTTTCATTATCTCCTCCATGACCCAACCCTCATAACTGGGGGATGTCTTCTGTTAATGGGCCAGCTGTTAAGAAAAGATGAGGCAGTGTTCTTTATCTCTTCCACCACCCATCCTCCCTCCAGGGGGATATCTTCTGGTAATGGGCCATTGAGTCTCACTGCATGACTGATAAAATTACATCAGCCCATTGTGAGATGGTCCACCCAGGGGGAGGAGCCAAGCATTCCTGACTGGATATAATCAGAGGATCAGAATACCACAGTCTTTCTCCACTGGATTCCCAGAGGAGAGAGCGGACCCATCTACAGCACTGTAACTTCAGAGGTAAGCTACACCCTTCTAGGGGATCATTGCTTCAACAGAACCACATCTGTCACTCCAGGAGGACTGTAGCCACCATTTAATCGGACTGCTTCCAACACCCTGACTCACAGGGTGTCAGGTTGTATTCTGACTCTGTCAGTGGGTTGTTTTTTTGTTGGTTTTTTTTTTTGCACTACTCTGTCGCCCTGAGAATCAGACCTTCGATATTGTTTTTACAAGTTCTAGCCACTTTCCCATGAAAGTAGCTATAAACATAGGTGTTTATACATTCCGGTAAAGATATACCTTTTGGTAGACATCTCTCACGGCCAGTGCAATTGAGAAGGTGTTAACCTGACTATCCAATCTGTAGTTGTGGTTGGAAATCTATAAATATTGAAAGAACAAATAAACTATTCTCTTTCTTTCACCACACATCAAGCTTCATCCGTGCAAATAATTTTGTGTCCATCAGTGACACTACTGCATTTTTATTTTAATTTCCTTAGTAAAGAACAGTTATTGCTAGTCACATACATTTCCCTGAGAGCACTTTGATTACAAGATTATAATAATTCGGAATGAGGGGTTGTTTACATTTTTATCCATTTGAATGGAGATTTCTGCCTTCCTTACCAAACACCTGGCCTTTCAAACCAAGACACTCCAGATGCCCGGTGACTTCTAGAGATGGGCTTGGGCAGACGAACATTCAAACTCAATGTGCTCATCCCTTGTTTTTCCTAAACCAGGATTTCCCAATCCCAAACCTTGGCCAGATGGAGGAGGAGGCTGTGAGGAAGAGGAGGATGCCCCAGGATGCCCAGGCAGGTGAGAAGGAAGTCAGTGCCCATTTCTCCCTCTCTCCTGCTCCATCTCCCAGACCAGCATGGCCCCTGGCTGCAGGACAACCCTGCTGCTGATGCTGTCCTGCCGGGGACGCACTGGGGGATCTCCTTCCCCTTCCTTCTGTCACAGAGGCAAATCCCATCCTCTCCTTGTCCTTCCTCCCCCAGACAAGGAGCTGAGGATGGAGACCAGGGAGAACAAATCCCCAGGGCAGAACCTCATGGAAGAGGCCGTTTTGAGCAGCTCCTCATTGCAGAAATCCAATGGGGAAGAAAAACCCCAGAGATCCAGCAAGAGGAGGTGCTCCAAACCCAGCCCAGGGTGCTTTGAGGAGGAAAGACTCACCCTGTGCTGGGAAGGTGGCCGGAGATCCAGCCGGGCCTCTGAGCTGGTGGTCCATGAGCAGCTTCAGGATGGGGAGAAGTGCTACAAGTGCTTGGAGTGTGGGAAGAGCTTCAGCCAGAGCAACAGCCTGATCTGCAACCAGATGATCCACACTGGGGAATGGCCCTACGAGTGTGGGGAATGTGGGAAGGGCTTCAGCTGCAACTCCAAACTTACCCGTCACCAGCGCATCCGCACTGGGGAGAGGCCCTATGAGTGTCCTGAGTGTGGGAAGAGGTTTCAGACCAGCTCCATTCTCTTTGTGCATCAGCAGATTGACGCAGAGGAGAGGCCCTTCCGCTGCCCTGAGTGCGGGGAGGGCTTCAAGTACAACTCCAACCTTGTCAGGCACCAGTGCATCCACACTGGGGAGAGGCCCTACAAGTGTCCCCAGTGTGGGAAGAGCTTCACCCAGAGCTTCACCTTGACCCAACAAGAGGCAATGGAGGCACCAGTAAGGGAAGCCCAGAAAATGCCCCAAAGTGCAGGAAGAGCTTTGTGCACTGCTCCAGCTTCATCCTTTATTGAAGGACCCACACTGGGGAGTGATCTGGTGATCCATGTTCCCTATGATACATCCTGGGAAGACACCTGTCTGTTTTCCTGCCCATGGCAATGACATGATGGGGTGTCAAAGAATGTGAGGGTATGGCCATGGCCCTGTCATTATATTCAATCCCATCTCAGGTCATTGCCAGGGGCAGGAAAAGGACTCCCTCTCTCACCAGAGGAGAAGGGTGTGCTTTCCAGGGTGGACGAAATACATGGCCAGGAATAGCCAGTGAGTGGTGTTGTAGTTTTCCCTGTGAATAGTCTGTCTTATCCCTTCTGTTACCAAAATTGCTCCTGTTCCTTTTTCTGATGTTGTTTCTGTTCCCAGTAAATTGTTCTTATCCCAGCTCAGTTTTTTTATTTTTTGTGCTTTCCATGGGAGGTAAGATGGAAGTGAGCGGTGGTGGGGTTTCAGCAGGAGCAGGAAATTGGGGAATGCCATTCCTGAAGCCCAGCTTATGAAAACTGAGCATCCCAGCTGGTGCCAGGCCTGGTTGCCATGGCAGCAGCCTTGGGAGCAGGTCCCTGGCTGGGGGCTGTGGGAACCTCTTCCCTCTGGTGCCCAGGGACAGGAGTGGAGGGACCGACTGGAGCTGAGGCAGGCAGGTTTAGGCTGGATGTGAGGAAAAGGTTTTTCCCCCGAGGCTGCTGGGACACTGAACAGACTCCCCAGGGAAGGCTCCCAGCTCCAGGGCTGTCTGAGCTCCAGCAGCGTTTGGCCAGCACTGTCAGGCCCAGGCTGGGATTGATGGGGTGTCCTGTGCAGGGCCAGCAGTTGGACTGGAGGATCCCCATGGGTCCCTCCCAACTCAGCCAATTCTGTGGCTCTGGGATCCCATGAGGCTGGGGATGGGCCTGTAAATGGTTGCCATGGCAACGGGCTCTGGCTCCAGGCCTGAGCTGGTGTCTACGGCAACCATCCCTGGCATGGGGTCTCCATGGAGCTGCCAAGGGACTGATCACAGCAACAGGGTCTGTGATGGTTGCCCTGGAAACTGGCCACAGCAGAAAGACAGCTCTGGCCAGGAGCAGCTCCTGAGCACAGCCCAGCAGGGCTGGAGCCTGCCAGGGCAGCTCAGGGACACAAGCAGGCCCAGACAGAGCTCCCAGGGGCTCAGCACTGGCAGGGGTAGTGCGATGTCCCAGAGGAGGCTGTGTCCCAGCAGCACCTCTGTGGCTGTGTCCTGGAGCCCCAGAGCAGCTGTGATGTCAGAAAGGGGCTGTGTGACAGCTCAGAGTGGGTTGTGTGAGGTCACAGATGGGGCTGTGACGTCACAGAGAAGGCTGTGACATTACAGCATGGCTGTATGACATCATAGACCTGGCTGTGAGGTCAAAGTTTGTGCTGTGACATTACAGGGTGGCTGTATGACATCACAGAGAGGGTTGTGTGACATCACTGATGAGGTTGTGACATCACAGAGCTCACTGTGACCTCCTAGATGAGGTTGTGATGCCATTGAGCAGAGACTGCCATCATGGAGGGTGGCTCTGTGATATCACAGAGCAGGCTGTGACGTTACAAGGTGACTTTGTGACATCACAGAGTCTTCTGTGACATTACAGTACAGCTGTATGACAACTCATGATAACATCCCCGAGTTGGCTCTGTGACATCACGTGGGCTGCCCAGTGTGGGCTGTGACATCACATGTTGCTGTGTGACATCGCAGGTTGCTGTATGACATCACAGGAGCTGTGTGAGGTCACTGGCGAGGTCACTCGGCCCCAGCCCACCCTCACAGTTCCCCCCAGAGAAGTCCAACGCTGCTTGTGCACAGCGGGGCCCCCTGTCCCCCCAGGTCCCCCCACCCCAGTGCCTCAGCCTCCCCCAGAGGATGTTCCACGAGATTGACCCCAGAGCCTCATGCGGGGACAGGGGCTGGGGCTGTGGGTGTGGGACAGGGGACAGGGACCCCCCAGCAGCGTCCCCGTGTCCCCCAGGCCCAGACCCTGGGCCAGGGCTCCTTCACCCTGTCACCAACGAGGGCTTGAGAGCGCTTAAAAAATCCCCAGCAAGGGAGCAGCAAAAACAAGATTTAATATTAAGCGCCAGCAGCACAAAGTTCCTTGGCAAGAGTCACTCTGGTCCTGACTGGACACTTCAGGCACAGCAAGGAAACAAAGCAACAACAAAACCAAACAAATTCCAGGCAAGTAAACCAGAAATTAACCCAGAACTGTCCTTGTGTGTCTGTGTGTCTGTGTGTGTGTGTGTGTGTGTGTGTCTGTGTCTGTGTGTGTGTGTCTGTGTTTGTGTCTGTGTGTGTGTGTGAGACAAAAGGACAGTGAGGGCAAGGATCAAAGGAATACAGCCTAAAAGCTTAACAGAGATCAAACTTAACAGGGCTTAACTGATACCTTAACCTTAACTGATACCTTCAACTTCGAGTGGAAAAGAACAGAACTTAACAGAATTTAAACTGACTTATGACTTCATGATTTAACAGAGGAATAACACTTAATAATGTTCAACTTAGCTTATAACTTATATTAAACTTAACTTAGCGAAAGAACAAGTTAGCAGCATTTAACTTAGCTTAGACCTCGTGACTGAACCTTACAGGCCTGACTGACTCAGATCTTCAAGGCACTCCAACCCCTCCGACAGCAGCATTTCTGCCACATTTGCCAGGGCACAGCACTGGTCACCAAGGCTGGTGGGGGGTCTGGAGCACAGGTGAGGAGTGGCTGAAGGAGCTGGAGTTGTTTATCCTGGAGAAGAGGAGGCTCAGGGGAGACCTCATCACTCTCTACAAGTCCCTGACAGGAGGGTGAAGCCAGGTGGGGGTCTGGCTCTATTCCCAGGGAACAGGGACAGGACAAGAGGACACAGCCTTAAGGTGCACCAGGGAATGTTTAGGCTGGACATGAGAAAATATTCTCCACAGAAAAGGTGCTGAGGCACTGGAATGGGCTGCCCAGGGAGGTGGGTGAGTCCCTGTCCCTGGAAGTGTTCAATGAAAGACTGGACGTGGCACTGAGTGCCATGGCCTGGGTGAGAAGATGGTGTTGGGTCATGGGTTGGACTTGATGCTCTCCAAGGTCTTTTCCAGCCTGGTTGATTCTCTGATGATTGTGACCCTGCAGGGCCCTGGGGAAGCAAGGGGCCACTGTTACACTGCAGGGCCTGGTGGAACTCAGAGGACCACAGTGACACTGTGTCCCACATGGCACCACAAAGCCAAGATGCCATGGTGACACCCTGGGGCTACATAGAAGCACAGAGTCCACGGTGACACTACTGAGCCTTGTGGAACCAAGGGGCCACTGTGGAACCAAGGAGACCCTGGTGAGACCCTGAGGCCCAGTGGGATCAAGGGGCCATTGTTCCACTGCAAGGACTCCTGGAACTAGGGGAACACCCGTGACACTGTGGTGCCCCATGGAACCAAGGGTCCTTGGAGATACTACAAGATCTTGTGTAACCAGGGCTCCGTTGTAACACTGCACCACCAAGGGTGGCACTCTGAGGCCTGATGGAACCAAGAGGCCCCTGTGACACTGCAGGGCCTTGTGGAACCATGCAGAGCATTGTGACTGAGCAGGACCTCATGTCATGATGGGGCCATTGGGACCCTGCAGGGCCCCATGGAAAAAAGGGGGCAGTGTTGCTCCTCAGGGACTCATGGAATGAAGGAAACATGTTTGACACCATGGCACCCCTTGGGACCAAGAGGCCATGATGACACTGTGGAACCAAGAAGAGCATTGGTGCACTGTGAGACTTCATGGAACCAAGGATCCACTGTGACCCTGTGGGGCCTTGTGACACCAAGGGCTCCCATGGAACCAAAGGGACACTGTGACCCTGGGAGGCCTCATGGAATCATGGAGACCATTGTGACACTCTAGGGCCCCATGGAACCATGGTGACACCAAGTTGGCTGGGAGTGTTGATGTGCTGCAGGGTAGGAGGGCTCTGCACAGGGACCTGGAGAGGCTGGACCCAGGGCCCAAACCCAACCAGGGGAGGTTTAA